CTGCTGAAGTCTGATGGTGTTAACAAGGGGTTAACACTCACTTGGAAAGCATTTGCAGATAGACTAAGAAGGGAAAACAGGAACTGACAGGTGAAAAATGTTTAGGGATTTGCAGCCATTAAGTGGTTCAATTAACACCTTTTAAGTCACACACACCATAAATCTTTCATTTTTAAGGAATATGATTAAAGGATCATAATAAGACAAAACCAACTTTGTGTTCCAGCTCTCTGCCTTAATTCTCCCCTCATCGCTGTTCAAATCTCTTTACAAAGTCTGAAACTAGAGTCTTCTCCTTGCCATTGCAATACTTGAGCTTCTTTAGAACCTAAATCCTCAAAAGTGACCTTTGTAGAGCACAATTCAAGGTTGGATCAGGTGGAGGGGACCTCCCTCTCCAGGTAAAGGATGCTTTTTACCAAGGACTGACTGTCTTTTGGTTGTATTCTCTGGTACCTGCAATAACACAGGCCTGAAAGAAGGCTGTCCTGGAGCTGGGACATTACGGTGTTTCTTTTCCTTGAGGCTTCCCTGGGACCTACAAAGGGTTGAGAAGCTACTGCCACAGTGCCATCAAGGGAACCACTGATCTTCCATGTCCAACACAGGTAGTTTTGTTGAAACTTCAAAACCATCTACTTTTTTGGGTTCCCTTGAGATGTTATCATGGGTAACTAACTCAAAAATACATGGGGGGGCAAGCTGGAGAAGGGAAAAGGAAAAGGTAAAGGTGAGATGGACCAGAAATGCAGCTTACACAGTCCTCAAAGAGGTTAAGCATGGAAATCTCAAAAAGTACATAAAAATAACCTTTTGTAGACAACCTTTAGATAGCCTGCAGTCACAAGAAACTGAAACGTGGAGGCTATGAGATACAATATAAAAAATAGCCACCTAAGGCTGAGATAATTCAGCATAATTCAGCACTGGATTAAAGAAGTTGTATTTTTACTGGTAGCTGTATTTTTACTAGTAGCTGTATTTTTCCAGTTTTTGCTTTGTTCTTTAATCCAGAAACAGGGCGATAGTTACACCCCAGAGGTTTATACCGCCATAAGTTGTGATAGCTTTCCTTCCCAGGAGATTAGCTTGAAGGAACTCTAGTTGAAAGCTAATCGCCAAGCTCTGAAATGCTCTCCCCTAACCTCAGCATCTGAGCTGGACACACGGAAATCCTGACCCTGTAAAGATTTATGTGCATCCTTCATTTTATTTAAAGACACAAGTGGGCCAGCTCAGTTAGCATTGTCAGTCACACTGATGTTTCTTTCATGAGCCAGTGTTTTTATGGCTGAAATGTCTCAAATCCATGATCAAGTTACCCGGTGTCAACCACCCCTTTGGCACTGAGAGTTAAACCCAGTTAAAGCTCTTAATAAGACACAAACTGCCATGGCCTGACCTGCTTCTGAGTGCCAAGTGCTTCGGATCCAGTCTATTACCATGAGTCAACCAACGCCCAGTAGTTCTAGGACTGAAACATTTTTAAGGGAGTGATCTATTCCTGCAAGGAACATCCATGTAAATGACACCACCAACCAAACACTTCAGAGACATACAGGATTACATTGCCATTATGAATGTGTTTTTTTAAAAAAAAACAATTTTCTAATCAATCCAAAGAAACCCTCTAGTAGGGTTAAGAGACAAATACTTCTAAACAAAAACTTCATCTTATTGCAAAGTGAAGTAGTTGCTCCAAAACACTGGAATTCATGAAAGTTGAAGGTATATTTCTTTAGAACTTGTTTAGTGTCAAACATTTTCTGCATTGGAAATACAGGCATCCAACACAACCAGTCATGAGGTTTTTCAGCATAAAGAGAGCTCATACCTCTCCAAATAGCAAAGGCTCTGAAGATGAAAAACACCATACGGCAAGTTTTTGCTTAATTTAAACTTAATAGCAAGAACTGACTGCCATTTTAAAAACTGACAGCAATATGTCCATGAACTGCTATTAGGATAGAGCAATCACACGTTTGATTTATTGACACCGAAAAATGAAAACAATAAAATACAGCAGCCTCCTAAAGAAAAAAAACCCTACTGATGCTTGGCTTTTACTGCAGGTTGACTAAACAGATGCAGCTGATTTTGGAGGTTCGTGGTAACATCTATCACCTAAGTACAGATGCTGCAAACACACAGCGGTGAGCACACAGAATACTAAACACGGATTTCCAAAGCGTGTTTACCTAACCACACTTGCACATCACCTGCTGTAGATTAACGAGGTCTAAAGCCAATTTCTTCTACCTGAACTCTGGATCTCCTTATTTTTCTCCCCCTGTAACCTATGGCAAAACAACAAAGCTGCCTCTTGAATAAATCAGAGCAGAGCTGTGGCTTCGCCGCGAGCCGTTCATCCTCTTCTCGTCCTTTCCCACCTCCTTCTGCGCGGGGGGAGCCGCAGATTATTGTCTGCCATAGCGAGGGACACAGCAAGTCATAATTAGCTCACAGGGTGCTGTTTATAGCTACTACACAATGCCAGGATTTGTTTCTTGTACCGAAGCTATGAATCTGTAAATGGGATTTTTATGAGGATTTAATGTGTCATCTTGTGTTTTTCCTGGAAGCTTATGCCGCTGCCGTTCCCGGGGGACGCGATGCACATTTACCAGAAACCCGACACACTGACTTCCTCCCTGTTCTTAAAAATAGGGATGAGAAAGCTCAGTAGATGATGAAAAAAAGCATGTATTTAAGAAGCAGGTGGGTGTAAAAAAAGGGGGTTGGAAAAGAGGAAGAAAGATTCAGCTACAGCTGGTACCAGGGCTCTGCTCCAGCAAAGCCTACAATCAATTACTGCTGGCACCGAAGCTCAGCCTTTCAGCGGGTGCCCAGCTGGCACGTGGCAGAGCCAGGCTGGGCTGATGCCAGCCCCGTCCCGGGCAAGGGCTTCCCTTCCTGCAGCTGCTCCAGGCCAGCAGACTTGCTCTTGGCCAGACAAGTCCTCGCAAACGCTGTCACCTGTCTGCTTTTAGAAAAGCCTGTTAGAGCTGCTGCTCCTCCAAAAGCTGAGTCACCAACATAACCACTAACGATTTATGCTCCAGCACCATCACTCCAAACAAGGTTAAGCAGGATCAATTTAGGGTAAGCTTCCCACAAGGCACGTTCAGAAAGCCAAAGGGACAGACAGCGCGAGGACAGAAGAGACATTCCGAGCTGTGCCAGCGTCACTCGCCAACCTCGGCACACGAGACACGCCGCCGCATCCCGTCTGCCCGCATCTCTGCGGGGAAGAGAGGTACCACCCGTGTGCCACAGCAGAAAAATGCCCGTCTTCCATATCAGAAAGGCCACTAGCAGACAGAACAAGGCTCTGGAAAAAACTGCACCTTCATTCAAATTAAGATGAACAGCTTTAAGCCAAAGCTTTTTACAAAAAGCAGGCTCCACTCGTTTAGATTTTTCTATTATAATAGAGGCACGTTTTCAGCATGCTGCAATATTACCTAATGAAATTACAGCCTTCATATATAACTTCTCCCTCAAGCTACACCACTTCAGAATAGCAAGTTATTACGCCGCTCGACACTATGCCAGTGAGCCCCAGCACCAGTGACGCGCAGCACAGCTAATGGATCTAGCCAGGATGCACTTGACTGACAACCTGACTGCATCTGTCAAAACCAAAAACACCCACATGCCGAAGGAAGGCTGATATAACATGGAGGTGCCAATGGGGAAAAAAAAACAATATGCATTTCTTCGGAGGAATGAGAGAAACTAGGGTAAGGAAGTGAAAGAAGGTCCACATCTGCTGAGGCATGGAGTGTCAGAGGACAATACATTTAGCATCATTATATATATATATAAATGTTTATATGCATGAAATTTGAGAAAGAGAAGAAATCTTGAGTGCAAACAGTGTGTTGTCTGGAGTACAAAGCTGACAGGAGTTACATCACTGAAGGTGCTAACGTGGCTCTCCTCACCAGCAGCTGCCGGAGAAAGGAGAACATGCAACTATCTACTGCCTGGCAAGATCCTCGGGGTAGATCCCTGTCAAATTTGAAGTAGCAAGTCTGGAAGTCGTCTCAGACCAAGGAATACCAAACACATTGCTTTTCCTCTTCTAATTAAGGCAAAAGGATGGTTCTCCTATTATTCTGCTCTTCTCTCCAGAATAATCAAGCTGAACAGCGTGAACTCTGCTACGACTCAATCAAAAACGCTGAACATTTCCCAGGTCCAGCAAAATCCAAGCTCCACAATCAGCATGGCTTATCAATACAAATCCCTCTCGGACTTGTTTACACCTGTCTTGAAAGCCAGTCCCAGGGTCAGATGCATTTACATCCTTTCCTTCATAAACCAGTGTTACACAACTCCCAAGAATAATCAGCACTAGTGATAAACGAGTGACTGATCTGAAAAAACATGTCAACTACAGAACTAAGCATGACTTTTACCCCATAAAGTAGGCTTGCAAACATTATTAATCTTGTTGCACAACATTGTTTTTTGTGGACACCAAACTGTTACATAAATTTATTACTTGCACTTTTGTGGGTGCTTTACTGTTTTTAAAATGTAGAGTACCAAATAAAAAGACATGAGCTCAACAGAGATGCTGGAGACTTGTATTATAATACTGAATTGTTTTGATTGTCAGTATTATTTACTGTTGAGCTTTAACAGAATTTTTGAATTAGGATTTTAAAGTTATATTAGTTGGATTCTTTCAAGTGAAGTTCTGACATAATAGTCTATATTTCTTTGGTTTAAGTCATCTAAAAAGATAAAAAAATAGGTTGACAGTAACGAGAGGCACAGAAGCAAAAAACCAAGCAAGTTCTTTTCCCAGGAGCTTGATATTATGAGGCCCAGAAGAACAGTACTTCAGGCAGACAAATTCCTGGACAGAAGGTGCAAATGAGGCACAATTCCTGAGGACTAGTAGTCTCTCAGCAGAATGGAAAGCATCTAGTTGATGAAGAGAAGGGAGCATGAAGGAATCGGTGGCTATTATGAAGAACTGGGCACAGAAGTTACCTTGAGACAAGCAAAGACTTGACCTGGAGCACATTCACTACTCCGCTTTTACTCTCCTTTTAACTGAGTAGGTATCCAACAGCATTTGCAAGGAACACAGCAGTTCACTACCCTATGTGCCTTTCTCCTCCAGATACGTGGGCCGGCTATTACCTTGGAGGAGCCCAGCATACATACATCACAGTGCTTGTGGCACCCAATCCCACCCAGAGTTCAAAAAGCAAGTTCTCCATCGTCTCCTGCTTTCCTGCTTTCCTCTTTTCCCCTCCCATTCCCAGAACAGATAAAGAAAGTAAAACAGCCACTGAACATAAACAAGCAAATGGAAAAGGCCCTCTGAGTTAAACACAAAGTCAACACCTACCTGATTTTGGAATTACAGGTCATTTCATTCTCAGGGTAGTGAATATCCACCGCGTCCTGAATGACTGTACCATACTCGTAGACTTTAATCTTCTTTGTCACCCCAGCAATGGCGAAGTAGTCACAGTCTCGGTCAAACTCAATACTGAAGAACAAAAGCACAGGTTGAGAACCGTGTAACACAACATATGTACTTACCAGAGGAGTATTTTACCACCCAGACACCTCGGTATGGCAGAGCTGAGCACCACAACTTGCAGTTAGCAAATACCCGATTCAGAGCACTTCGGCCAGCTCTGGCACACACACCAACACAACGTGTCATTCTTGCTCTCAGGCACCATTTTCCAGTCCTCTCCAAACACACCCAACACCTCCCATTTACTGAAACAGACTTTTCATGGTAGCACAATCTCCCTCCCACAGGCAGGACCTCTGTTCAGATGCTCCAGAGGTTTTCCAGTTCAGTTACATCATCTACATTGTGCGGTACCCAACGTCAAAGCCAACGGCTCACCCTGGAAATGTGCTTAACATTCAACCGTAAGCTCTGTGAACAACGTGCTACGGGATGATTGCCCACTGATTTCTCTGTTGCATTGCCACATCCCTTAGCTCCTATATACAGCAGCTTGGTGAACTCTAAGTGTTAATGCAGAGCAAACCAGTATTTGTGGGGGAAAAAAAAAGCCCTTCTAAATTCCTTGAGTAACAACAGAGGGTTGAAACATCTATATTCAGTACTGCAAAAACCATGCACGCTCTGACTTCCACTCAGGGTTGCTTGTAGAAAACGAAGCACCTTCTTTCTTGAACCGCAGGGTAAGTTTGTAATAGATATCAATGGTGTTGGAAGTAAAAGCAGTCACCTTATAACAAAGTTAAGCTGCAAATGAGAAAAGCCTGAGGTTGCACACGAAATACATCTGGGAGGAAGGCAGGCAGCAGGTTATAAACAGCTAATGTCACTGCTACCTTCGCAGCTTGGAAGGGCTCGAGAGAAATCTGCTAGACAACAGGAGGCAAAGCTGCTTCCTAGAAGGAGCTCCTCCCTGCCCGCAGCCCATGTTGCCGCAGGCAGGGCAGGTGGACACGTACACACTCCCCTCTCAGGAGCATCAGCAAGACAAAGTTTGATATTCCTCCCAGAAAGGGCTTGGGGGTAGCATTTGTCCCAAGTCTCCAGGTTGGTATGATCAGTAATCAGTTCTCCTCAAATCCCTTCACAAAGCAAGCAATCTACTACTTGGAGAGTTCTCTTTTGGGGCCCCCAATATAAGGACATGGACCTGCTGCAGCAGGTCCAGAGGAGGCCACCAAGAGAAACCAAGGGCTGGAGCACCTCTCCTATGAAGACAGGCTGAGAGAGTTGGGGCTGTTCAGTCTGGAGAAGAGAAGGCTCTGGGGAGACCTTCTAGCAGCCTTCCAGTACCTAAAGGGGCTACAAGAAAGCTGGAGAGGGGCTTTGGACAAGGGTGTGTAGTGATAGGACAAGCGGGAATGACTTTAAATTGAAAGAGGGCAAATTTAGATTCGATCTAAGGAAGAAATTCTTCAGTCTCAGGGTAGTGAGGCACTGCAACAAGTTGCCCACAGAAGTTGTGGCTGCCCCATCCCTGGAAGTGTTCAAGGCCAGGCTGGATGAGGCTTTGGGCAACCTG